TCATAGCACGTAACTCAGTGTTTTCCTTCGCGAATAATACAGCGCTATGCATTGCAAGCTGGCAGCCTTTGATAAGCTGGTTTAATGCAGGATTTTTAGGACTTGGAGGGCTTTTTGAGCGTTGTCTGAGGAAAGCCTTGATTGAAGAAGCTTGTTTATGTAAATCAATGATGTTTTGAGGAGTCTTAGGACTGAATGCACTTGATTGACTGCCTGGGCGGCTTCCAGGTGGTGTAGGCGTATGAAGCTGAATATCAAGCTTTGGAAGCACCCAGTCTGGATCAAATGGCACTAGACCAGCTGTGACGGCTCAACGACCAGACAAACATTGCCAACATGCCAAAAGATGCCATACAAGCAATATGGACAAACAAGGGCTCAAGCCGCATCACACAAAGGCTTATATAGAGACTGCACTCGCCAGAGAGATTTCCTCTCCTTTTTCCTTCCCAGATTCAATATTCTTGTTGATGGCTACAATAGTCAAGATAGGAATTCAGTTCATTATTATCTTCTATTCCGAGCCCGTGACACCAGCTGCTGCAAAGCTATTTTGAATCATCTCTGATTTAAATCCCTCTGTGCGCGTGTAGGGATATGCTGCAAGAAAATCAAGTTTGTCAATATGGTTGATACCAAGTCGCATTTGATTCTCAACAAGCTGACCATATGCGCGTTTAAGTAGCGCAAAACAACCAATATCAAGCGGCTGTAGAAGATGTGATGAATGTGGTGGCATACAAAGTGAGATAATATGATTCTCACTGCAGATCTTGTCAAATTGAGGTGTTAAATGGCTACCATGTCCATCAAGAATCAAAAGTTGATATTTGCCTTTTGTACGGCTATTTGTAGTTGGAATAAAGTGATTTTGAAGCCATCGAAGGCCAATCTCATCTGTAGTCCACCCATTTGGGCTGACTTCAAATCACCAGTCTCCTGGAAGGTTGTCAAACCAAGCTCGATTATAGGTTTTGCCTTTGAAGATGATCACTGGTGGAAGTGCCCATCCAGATGCACTAATTGATTCAATTGCAGTCACCCACTCACAATTCCCTGGCTGTAGAACTGATCTTCAGCCATAATATTCTGCCCATGTGATCACTTTTGCAGTTGCTGTGAGGCCCATTGCAAAGCCAGTTTCATCAAAGTTATAGATATCTTCAGATAGGATACCATGCTCACAAATCACATGTTGGACACTATCAAACCACCCCTTAATAACCTTTGGATCCTCTTGTTTTGCACGCTGATAGTCATATCTTCGTGAGAAATGAGTACTGAGCTCTGGATGTCGCTGGGTGAAGTTGTAGACCCATTTTTCACCAACAGTTTGAATAAGGGTAGAACCACGCTTTGCAAGTAATAGATTTGCCATTTCTTGTACAGTAGCTGGCCGAGGAGCTGCTCCATGTAGATCCATTGATAATATCCACTGCTTTAGCAATTCCTCTTCCATTTGAGTTAATTTATGGCTATTTGCACGAGATTCAGCGCGATAAGGGTGGCCAGCAAGGCGTCAGTGTAGGGAGGTATCAGGAACATTAAATCGGCATGCTGCTTCGCGTACAGAGCTGATTTCTTGATTTTTGATAGCTTGTATAGCTAATAAGAGGCGACCCTCTTGTTCAATAGAATTTCGATTTGATCGGGAGCGATTTGGTGGCATGGTGGGTGGTTGAAGATAGGGAAACGCGTAGAGACGCGAAAAACTGGTTGGGTGCGCCGCCCGCTTACATGCGCCGCTCGCTTAACTAACGTAATCCACAAGCGAGTGGGCCACCCACCCCCCATATCTAGTATTTAAATGCATTTATTTCTACCAAAACGCCAATTAATTAACAAAACAAGCTATCTGGGTTTATCTGGACATGCATTTCTCTTATGTCCTTCATTTCCACAGGTACCGCACTTCGGTAAAGCCCTCGTACGCGGCTGTAAAGGTGGTGAAGGCCGTCTTGGCCGGGGGGGGTGCTGGAGCTATTGGGGCCTCGATCGGGGCCTCAATTAGCTCAACAGCCTCCTGAACTGAAAGGCCACCTTCATGGGGTATCTGCCTTTTAGACCGTGTACGCTTTTGCTTCTGCTTCACGTTCAAAGCACGTAAATCGCTTACTTCTTTCTCAAGAATAGCAGCTGATTGCATAGTGATTTGGCATGCTTTAAGAACTTGATTTATTGCAGAATTAAGCGGACTGGGTGGGCTCTTTGAGCGCTGCCTTAATAAGGCTTTAATCGAGGATGCTTGCTTCTGTAATTGCACATAGTTTGAAGGCGTTTTTGGTTCCCAATCACTATCCTGACTCACAGGGGGGGTTGGTGTACGAAGACGAATATTGAGCTTTGAAAGCACCTGATCAGGGTCAAAAGGCACTAAACCAGCTGCTGCAAAGCCATTTTTGATAGTATCAGGTTTGTAAGCCTCAATTCGTGCGTGTGGGTAGGCCTCAAGGAAGTCTAATTTGTCGATATGGTTGATCCCAAGACGCATTTTGGTTTCAACAAGCTGACCATATGATCGCTTTAATACCGCAAAACAGCCAATATCAAGTGGCTGTAAAAGATGTGATGAATGTGCTGGCATACAGATTGGGATAATATCATTTTGACTGCAAATTTCATCGAATTTTGGTGTCAAATGACTACCATGGCCGTCAAGGATCAAAAGCCGATATTTCCCTTTTGTACGAGTGATTGTTGATGGAATAAAGAGCTTTTGGAGCCACTGAAGCCCGATTTCATCTGAAGTCCATCCATTTGGGCTAACTTCAAAGAGCCAATCGCCTGGGATGTTGTCAAACCAACCTTCAATAAAGACCTTGCCTTTGAAAATGATGCATGGAGGCAAGGCCCAGCCTGACGCACTTATTGCCTCAATTGCAGTGACCCATTCACGATTTCCAGGTTGTAAAAGGGATCGTCGACCATAGTATTCAGACCTTGTAATCACTTTCGCAGTTGCAGTTAATCCCATTGCAAAGCCAGTCTCATCAAAGTTGTAGATATCATCAGGGTCAATGCCATATTGAAGTATTGTACGTTGTACACAATTAAACCACTCTTGGATGATTTTTGGGTCTTCACACTTTGCACGCTCGTAATTATAGCGCCTTGAGAATCGGGTTGAAAGCTCAGAATGCCTTTTCACAAAGTTTGTAACCCAATTCTCGCCGACTGTTTGAACTGGGGTAGATCCACGCGCCGCGAGTAATAGATTAGCCATTTCTTGTACAGCAGTAGGCCGAGGCGCTGCTCCGCGAGAATCCATTGAGAGTATCCATTGTACAAGCGATTCTTCTTCCATTTGAGACAATTTATGGTTATTGGCGCGTGATTCAACGCGAAAGACATCACCAGTAAGGCGCCGTTGTAAGGTAGAGCGAGGTACTTGAAAGTGGTGTGCTGCTTCGCGAATAGAGCTAATTTCTTGATTCTTGATAGCCTGGATAGCTAATAAGATCCTACCCTCCTGCTCTATTGAATTCTGAGAGCTTCGAGAACGAATTGGTGGCATGGTGGGTGTTTGAAGAAGGAATGGTGTATACAACTGACGCGTTTCGCGTTAGGTGGCCCACTCGCTTGTGTGGCCCACTCGCTTGTGGATTACGTTACTTGGTTTGTGCCTGAAAACTATATTCTGGTGCCTTAATGATATTGTCACGTGTCAAAAGTACGGATGATGTAAACATATTGCAGCAATTGCGATGCCAACTCAAAGGTTCAATTCGATGCTTTTTTTTGCACAACGACAAGGATGTCTTTTGCATAGCAGCTGGATAATCCAAAATGAACAAGACAATTCTTATTGTGCTTATTCACGGCTTCAAGGTGCGTCTTTAGATGGCTTATCTCCAAGACCCTGTGCTTATAGGCACGTGCGAGCAACGCCGGCAAGTGAAGAACGAGGACGACTGACGAATCATGCTGATTTGATAGGGCGATGATGCTACATTTGGCGAGTTCCCAGAGCACCTCCGTGCACTGGTTAGACGGAAGCTTCCCGCTATCAAAGTCGTTACGATAGTATATCCCAAGTACGAGACTCGGGGCGATTTGAGAGAAAGCGTGGGCAGGTTCCGGGAATGGTACGTCTCGGCATCATCACAATGGGGTTTATTTGCTCTATACGGAGTCGTAATTGGTCGCTAACTGTATCCCGTTTGTGCAGGCTGCAAGATAAAGTAATCGATTTGGAAGTGGCAAATCGGACTGCTTCGCCTACTGTTGACCCCTCCGTCCATGTCTTCCTGGTTGGTCATTCGATGGGTGGCATAGTAGCAGCAGATACACTTCTGCTATTGGCATCAGAACGACCCCTAACTCCCGAAGAGCCGCTGGATGATGATGATGATGCATCAAGTCAAATATCGGCAAATTCGCACGATTCGACTGTTGCCCACTGCCCCCGCCTCGTGGAACCTAGTGATTATATGTTTCCTCATGTCCAAGGAGTGATTGCATTCGATACACCTTATTTGGGAATAGCACCGGGGGTTGTTTCATATAATGCTGAAGGGCATTATAAAACAGCCACGTCAGCATACAATGCGATATCAGAAGTAGCTGGCTTTTTCGGATGGGGGAAGAGTAATAACGACACTGCTGTCAGTCAACAAAAAGAAGCAGTGACGACGACAGTTACCCAAACGTCGACGGGCCAAACCAGCCCTGCCACGGATGCTGCCGCCACGCCGTCCTGGCAACGATGGGGTCGATACGCCATGTTCGCGGGAGCAGCAGGCGCCGTCGCAGCAGGCGGAGCAGCAGCAATGTATACTCAACGTGACCGCCTAACAGACGGATGGGGCTGGGTATCGTCTCATTTATCATTCGTTGGGTGCTTGGCCCGTCCCGCAGTGCTACGTCGACGCCTAGCTCGCTTATCGAAGGTGCGCCGAGAACGCAACATAGGCTGCACAAATTTCTACACTGCATTAGGCCAAGGTGCAGACCCACTAGTGGAGACAACGAACGAAGGACAGACACAAGTTGGTCAGAAAATCATACGCGCGAAAAACCGCACCTTTTGCACCCTCCCCACCGAAGAAGACGAGGCAGAGCCAGGACTGGGATGGGTCAAAGCCCAAAACGACCAAGTCAAGAACGAACTCAGTGCCCATGTCAGCATGTTTTCTCAAAAGGCAAACCCGGCTTTCCAGGAACTTGTTGACAATGCGGGACGGCTGCTGGTCAAATCAATTGACAAGGACTGGTACGCTTCTGCGAGGGGACCAATTGAAGAAATCAACGAGGGATCTTCACGCCTTCGACTTGAAGACAGTGGTCGCTCTCGACATGAAGGCAGTGGTCGCCCTCGACTTGAAGACAGTGGTCGCTCTCGACATGAAGGCAGTGGTCGCCCTCGACTTGAAGACAGTGGTCGCTCTCGACATGAAGGCAGTAGTCGCTCTCGACATGAAGGCAGTAGTCGCAGCAGTCGTCACGAGAGTAGTCGCAGCAGTCGCAGTAGTCATCATGGCAGCAGTCGCAGCAGTCGCAGCAGTCGTCATGGCGACACTCATGGCGGCAGTAGTCACGTCAGTCGTGTCAGCCGCCCGGGCAATCGTCGAAGAGACACAGATAGCCCGTTCATGAGTGGGGATGATGTTGTGATGATCAATTGAATGGGGCTACTTGTTGAGTTCAAGTTTGCAACCTCTACATATATCGACACTCAATATCAGCAGCTTAGGAGTCTTCCAGACCAATCTTCAACCTCCATCACCTGCGCGTTTAGGTTATGATCCTGTGGAACATACTGTGCTCCTCTTTGTGGCGGGCTCATGGGCTTCGAGAATAATGATAAACACCTTATGCGTCGCATATTTACCCACGGTTTCCCGACTTCAAAATCTATTGCCAGAATCTCAAGCCCATTAGGTCCATCGTCTGGGTCGTGCCTAGTTCAATTTCAGTTCAATTTCGCTTTGCTTGGAGACCCATTGTGATTATTTCGAGAATTGTTGTTGCGAATACTTTTACTGGATGTTGCACCTCTGTATGCTCTCTTCATCTTCGTAGCTAGATAGGGATTAGGAATATTATTATTATTATTATTCATACTCGCGTCTGTCAGCCCTGTTTGGCCGAGCGGCGGCAGGCCCGGTAGGGCGGCCGGGTAAGCCGCCGTGATAGTAATCATTAGTACATCGCCCATCTATATGCCATATAATATGCTTTCTCACGCGCTGAATACCCCGTACATCTCTTTATTCCACCACTATTCCCAGGGCCGCGAAGACCCCCAGGCTTGCTGGATACTGTGACCCGGTATGTAGCTGCTAGGGTTCTAAACTGGCCTAGGAGACCTGTCTCAAGCATGAATCGTACTGCTTTTGGTGCTAGATCCGGCAGGGTAAGGTGGGCCTGGTAATATAACTCTCTCCGTGAGCCCTGGGTCAGGTGGCGTGCTCGGGGGCCAGCCTGGTTCGTACAATGGAGGAAAATATGCCGTACATCCTGCCGGCCACGGCCGCAGGAGCATTCAGTCGACTCCATAGCACAAAGGTGCCGAGATAGCTGGTCAACGCGATCTTCCCCGTTTGCATCTGAATGAGAACTGATGTTGCGGCCCTTCGCAGACCCTGATATAGCAGCATTGGTGCGGGATTAGGAATATATTATGGATCTATTTACGTAGTTAGATTGTGGATGTGTTCCGGTTAGTAAGAATGTGGAGTGTGGTGCCATTGTCTCTTGTATGAAGAAAGCAAATTCATCATCGCTATAAATTGCAAAACCTAGGTACATTAATTCATCATGCGTAGGGCCACATCGTAAAATCTGGCATAATTCGTTCCCGAATTCATAGTATCGCTGGAAAAGAAAACACAACGGAAGATATATAGCTCATGATAGAGACCAGGTGCCCAAGAGGTTAACGGTCATAGCTCGAAGATCGGTGATGCCAGCTATTGGCGTACTCCGAATCCGGGTATAGTGATGTTCGTCGCTCATCGTCCGGGAGAAGCTCCTTGACTTCCCAGTTGTTGGGTTTAATACCCACCGAGAACTCAAGGTCTTCCTTGGTGATATAGTCCCAAAACTGAGGCGGAGTCAGTAACATGCTACTTGGTAGATTGTTTGGCAGTTGACGTACCTTGTAAACCATCATCACAGCCAGAAGGTTGCAGAACGTGGCAAAGAACAGGCCGTCCAGGTAGTGTTGAACCTTGCTACAGATCGTATCACCGAAAGCATAGAGAATAACCTGTCCCGCGATGAAAACAAGAACGCCGAAGGCGATGTGGCCGAGAGGCCAGCGGTCTTCAAGGGTGTTCACAACCAAGAAAAGCTGCATTATCAAGTATACTGCAACGCATATTGCGTTGAAGACATAGAGGACCAAGAACAGGCCAATGGTATTGGTGGGACTCAGCCCTCCCTTCGATTTGAAGGTCAAAACGGACACGAGAAAGCATATGGCAAACATAGTCACAGACGTCAGTCGTAGAAGCCAGACTGACAGCACAGTGCCGTCCTCGTAAAGCTGGAAGCCCACGAACCCGTTGACGAGTAAACAGGTGCACAGCGCGGAAACCAGTCCATTCTGAACGGCCACGAAATAAGGGAAAGGGCCGCTTCTTGGTGGAACGACGCCTGCGTCGACAATAAGGGAGACGATTGTTAATGCCATGTATATATAGAAGAATGTAATAATTTCTTTGCGGCCTGTGAGGCTGTTAGTGTTTATTATTCTTATTTTGCTGTCCCCGAGGCACACTTACCAACTGCGGTAAACTTGGATCTAACATGCAGAATCATAATAACCGTCATAACCAGGGCAATAATGTGCATAAACGAAGCGGCGCCCTCAAAGATGATCGTATTGGCCAACTCAATGTTCCGCGCATAACAATTGGGTATGATGCCGGTTGCGCCTGATATCGACGAAGCTGGCCCCACCAAAGAGCATAGGGGAACCGCTGCCTTCTGGCATAGTGCATTGAATTCCCCGAATCCCATGATACCGACTTGTAGGGGAGAAGGAGTTGACGAGGACGGATTGTTTGGGTTGTTTTTGCACGGCGATGATTATCAGGATATCGGTATCAGACTCGTCTCCACAACGACGGACGGAGATCTCTCGGTTCCAGACTTTCAACAACCACCGATCCAGCAAAGTCTAATGGCACATCTCTGGTGTATCAGAAGGAGATCTCGAACGCAGGATCAACACAAGGATAACAACAATAGCAACCTCGTCGGGACTGTATACAGCCGCTGTCTCAGATCGGGGTCCTTCACGTGTTCACGGCCATATTATTGTCTCTGCGACAGATCACGAGAAGCGCTAGTCCCAAAAAGGAAACAAACTGTGTTGTCTGGATAGCAAACTACGCTAGTCCCAAAGTGGCATAGTTACCGCAGCGCTTCCAATGACAAATTATGACGTAGATGTTCAGACACGGGATCGGGTTTTGTTCAATCACCGAATCTCTCGCGGGTTCCTGACTCTTTCCTTTTCCTCTGGCTCTGCTCGTTGATCTGCTTGGTGGTGCTCCCGAACACAGCTGAGTATGAAACCTGGAAGCTCTGAGTTTCGGATCTTTGAGTTTGGCTACGCCAAGCAGTTTCCGGAAAGCGGCTATTTCCTGTCTAGGTCAAACTCAGCCCAGTGTTATGGAGCTGAAAGCTTACTCGGCCACATTGGGAAACTCCGTGTTCCTAGAAATACGGCAATAATTACGTTCGGGAATTTATTCAGCCGCTCAGAGCACTAGGTATTCGTCCAACATTCGTGAATACGTGCCCTTGCTGACCCCGGCTAGGCCCAGCTCAAACAGGGTACGGAGTACACATGAAGCCTGGATTAGAAATGAATCACACGACACAAGTGGACACATTACTCGACTTACTCCGGAGTATAGCCTAGTGTGTTCATTGCCTTGTAAATACCGACGGACCAAGACCCGAGTCGGCCGTTTGATCGACAACGTACCTATTGACATGATTTCATCCTTGCTCTTTTCGGCAGATCCAGACTAACAAGAGGCATCTCAGCTCATAGATGCGACATGCTCTGTACTTCGTACAGCCTGGCTTTTTTGTGGATTTTGGTCTTACTACTAGCCTGCTGAGCGCTGCATTTGTATAGGTTACTAATATAACTGCTAGCTTACTTGGGTATCCCAGTGATAAGTCCAAAAATAGCTGATTCTGCTAGGATTATACATCTATGACACGTTTCTATGCTGAGTTGTTATGGTGTTAGTTTATGGTACTACAGCCAGGTCTGTTAAGCTAACGGCCCATTCTTGATCTTGGAGGCGGCGCGAATCTTCCAATTGTTTCCACGGTATCAATAGCAAGACGGTTATGGTGATGCTATCAGACCATTATTGAAGAGCTGAAACCCGCTGGCCTGCTACGTTTCTGCCTCCGTCCACCCCTGCATTGTGCGAGGATGAGGCGGTACAAGCGTCCAAAAAAAAAAAAATGAGAAAATACGGGGGACCATTCGATCCTATGAGCTTTTGCCCAGTGATAGCTATTCCTCGCTCTGTCTATTCGACCGGTACGGTTTCCCGAAATTCTGGCAGTCGTTTTGTTTGTCTAGAGGGACGTTGAATCGAATCGTCAGTCCGGGGACAGTTAAGCGAGAAAAGCCGCATTGTGCACTAACGAGGCGAAATATTCGAGCAAAGGGCAATATGACAATACCGGACAATACTCGCATTGTTGCTTTTATTATCCTTGTATGATTGCATTAAATTTTGTCGCATTTCCTCAGTTGCTCATGCATGTTGATCCCAGCCAAACGCCACGTGCAAATGAAAAAAGGTATCAACGGATGCGAGAAACCGTGCCGATCTCCCATTGAGCCGATGTGAGACTACTGTGGATGAGAAACTAAGCAGGTTGATCTTGTCATGAAGAAACAGTTTCCACCGAAGCCCCCTGGAACCACTTCCTTGTTCCAGCCGCCGCATTGACGGCAATTAGAGTGTCGCAGAATTTCAACGGCGCCGGCTCCAGCAAACATAATGCAAGACCCGCTTTCCTTACAGGGGTTTTTGGAACAAACTGCCACGCATTTTGCTCTATGCATTGTTCGATAATTGCTTCACCAGGGTGAATCATAGTCCCAAAAAGATTCGTGGGCCATTGCTCGTCTGACCTTTGCAAACGACTGGCGACCATCAATTTCCGGCCGACGGAGCTTTTTTTCTGCTTCAGGCACGGTTAAAGTATGGCAAGTAGCATTGTCCCAGCTCCCCACCATGAGCAACATACAAATGTCGACGTTTTGTTCCTTTTCATTCCTGTGTGAGTATCAACGTTTACGTCTCGAGTCCTTATATTATCTTGATCCTTCTCAACTGCTCTTATAATCTACTTCTGCAGTTGATTCTAAATCAAGTCATATCATTCGATATTGTCTCCACGACTGAACTTTCTCTTCCTCTATCTTCTTTTTCTATCTCTCCCTCTTGGTTCTTTTATAAATTGCTCCTTGGGTACCAATTTGCAATACCGAATTCATTCGCCAGCTCTGAAGTCGTCTTATGCGTTCAAAATGTGCAATTACTTCAAGAATTACTACATCTACAGCACCTGCACTCAGCCAGATTCCCATTTCCTTCGCACATCCTTGGACGGGAGTAAAGAAAATCGCTGTCCGAGTGGACCTCATGACAGATTCATAATTGTCGTTGGGAAATGTCACCTATGCGCTCGTTAATTTTTTGACCCTGGCACTTCCTTCGTCATGCTTTCCTTGGCGGCAACCATCCGAATTGTCGAGGACTGATTCGGCAAGGACCGACCTTCATGTCGCTCTTGAAAAGAACTTCTTTGAACGTCCCCGACGGCATCCGACTTCACGATGAGAGAATCCCCGACATTCCGATTATTTGACGATAACAAATTTTTTCCTTCGAGATACCTTCCACTCTCGACTCTGCTGCCCGTGGTGCTTTTGCGCCGACCAAGGAAATTCTTCCTTTCTTTACTTTCGTCGCCTCTCTTCAATATCTTATTTTCCTTGCACACAAAACGGTGATACAATGTGATTTGGTTGTTTTAGGTTGTTATTTTGGTACGGAACGGCGCTTGATGGAGTTGCAAAAAAATTGGCGGAGTACCCTTTCTATTTTGGAATTGGTATGAGCATTTTGAGAGTAAATTATGCAACATTTTGATCGTTTCTGTTTGTGTGGCTGTGGGAAGAAAAAAGGGAAAAGGGAAATTACCGTTGATGCCCGTTGATTCCGGCATACTACGGAGTACTTGCGTTTTTAGATACACAAACAGGTATCATATGTTCGACTCGTGCAACATGGGCCTCTTCTTTTTCTGCCCGAATAAAAAATTCACGGAACAAATACTACTCCAGCAAACGAAAAAAATTTACATGATCAATTCGGGATAAGGGATACATGCAACGCACGCCTTGACCCTCTGTTAGGATAGGACATTATATGCTTGATGACTTGGCGGCCGCTGGCACCGGAATCTCTCGGGCCGTGTCAGACCAAACGAAACGAAGATGAATAGGTAGAGAAATAATAATAATAATAAAAACAAGGAATCAACCTTGTCGATTTCTGTTTGAGCAAAATAAAGCGTGGCATGCTATTTTGACGGGGCCCTTACCCCGATGACGCATACACCGAAGCGACGTCGGAAGCACTTTCTCCTGCATCTTTCTCCTGCATCTATCGCAGACTGGACAAAAGTCTGCAGGTTCTCGCGGCTACCGGAAGACAGATCCCTGTCCAATGTCGACATGGGATGTGGGCTTCTTAGGGTTCAGCTTTGAACCTACCATTTCATCTTACACGCAGAAAGAACATTGTACGATGATGGTTGCCCCAGTCAGCTCCATCGTCGCGCTTTACTATGACCTCTTAAACGAGAAGGAATTCCTTTACCGGTCTCCACAGCATAGTAAATGTGGCTAATAGGCTCGTACCTTGCGGAGTACGGCCTCGTCCAGGCACTCCCTACTCACTATTCACAGAGATACGGGCTGGTGGGCAAAGTGATTATTTTTAGGAGTGTCCCGAAGTCTTTCCGGGAAGAGAGGGGGAAAAAAAAAAAAAAAAAAGTGTCGGATGTTTAAATTCATACGTATGCATTCGACTAGCAAGCGGCTTGTCCCCGCAACTTTCTTAGTTTATTGCACCATACCCTGTGAGGCTAGTAGCTGACTGGATCTGATCGAAAATTTGTTACAGGTGACCTACTTGGGAAAGCATCTAGGGCAAGTGCTCCTTCGTTCCGGTCCATATTCGGAATCCACGCAGCCGAGACTCTCCGCTCACAATGGTCTGAGTGGCATTGAACGATATCATTGGGCATTGCGACGAGGCCCCTTCACTCTTAGCGACAAACGAACTTTTTTTTTTTTGACTCGATCATAAACCCTCAGTTTCGGACCGGCTGCATATGCTGCTGAATCCGGATTCTAGCATGCATTCTGTGGAGCCCCCTAGGGTTTCAAAATTGAAGGTATTCCGTGTGTACACCGTCTTTGTAAAGAGCGCGCGCATTTCGAGGTGAGTAAATACTTTTACGCACTGGGCCGGAGTACTACTGTACGGGGTACGATTATTACGGGGGCATATGCTTTTCTCTGTCTTTTTAACTTCGGAGCAGGGACGAATATCGATAGTCCGGTGACGATCTCACCAATGGAACATTCCATTCATTATTTATGATTTGACGTCGACCGGCAAGGAAAAAGTTAATTTACTCTATTGCCGATTAGAGCTGTTTCATAACTACGGCAATTATACTTGTTACAGAACCCTCCAATCTACCATCGTTAAGCTCTTGTTTTGCGCGCACATGGCGTGCTACTCAATATGGAGACGGGGAAAAGGAAGGAATCAGGATGCCCTGAGCACTGACGATAGGCCTTCCAAACTACCAAAAAGGCAATGCGGACGACTGACTCAAGACACCCTTTTAGTTGTCGATCGTTCAAGACCGGGTCAATAATGTCCGTAATATTAAATGAATCTTCCTTCGGCACTTGCAATACCATTAACTATGGAAATCCTGGCCTATGCGCGGTGCTCTCAGTGGTCAACCATCGGAATCGGAAGACAATGGATTAAGTTCCATCTCCTTTTTATCCCGCCTACACCGTACAGGGGTCGTCGTAAGGCAGACGGGACTATCATCGATTATTTTCTCCTGAAAATAATCAATAACAACCTTGTTCAGAATACGGGGTGCATACATTGTGCCATGCGATTGCTTATACTCCGGACAATCGCCCGCCCGATACACGCGCAACAGAGACCACGTTTTTATCCTGCCCACCGACCCACGATGCTATCACATAGCCCATACTTAGTGGCTTCCGTTTATATTTTAGCGGAAACGGTCGCACTAAATCGGATTGCCTGCTGTATGGAGTACTTTGTCTCAAACCATCTAACTAATTCCAGCCATGCAGCATGCCGGTTTCAGAATGGTCCATCCATGTTCGGTGATGATCTCTCCCATGGGGCTTGCGGAAGGTTTACTGGTTTTGTTTCACGCCGCTGTGACGTTTGATCGATGGGATGATAGTACGGAGCACGGAGGTGCTATGGTCGTTCTCTCTTGCCTTTTGTATGCTGTAGTCTACTTCGTACTCCATAAAGAGTAACAGCCATTCCCAACTGTCATATCTTAGCAAGCCAAGAAAAGAAACTACTAAATACATACTACTAAAAAAGGACGCGGAGAAATCTCGGACTCAACCCGACATCATACATAGTACATGCGTAGTACACCCTCTGTGCTCTATCTACATGAATCGTAAGCGCAATCCCATTTGCAAAGACACGGCCCGGGTGAAGGGAATAGCCATATCCTTCGATCTTGACGATGTGCTTGTTTCAAAGCCGTTTGCAGCGGACTTTTGTAGATGTGGATATCGGATATGCATGGTGGTTGTCCGTCAAGACGACGGTTCTGTTACCAACTCCATACTGGGTCCTTTGATGCGATCATAATAAGGAGTATTATACGCGGAGTAAGTTACTTTGCGGAGTACGGAGTATTGACTAACTAACTAGCTAGCTGGGAACTAACGTGGTCGGTAAGCGAGCGACGCATGTAAGCGAGCGACGCACCTGACCACACCACCTAAATTGGAATCGATTTTATTAACCACCAACGCCATTAAATTCATCCAGCTATCTACTAGGACATTGGTTAATCTTATGCCCTACATTCCCACATAGACTACACGTTGGTGGCCGGCGCGCTGGCCGCTGGCTAGGCGAAATAGCCGGCGCAGCCGCTGCCATCTGAGTGACTATCTCAACTTCAGAAGGCTGGTTTAGGCCCCGAATCACCTGCTGAGCGTCTTCCATTGATAGACTGCCCTGGTGAGTGATCTGTCTCTTAGATCTAGCTCGCTTTTGCTTCTTTTTCTCATTCGCCGCGCGTAGATCCTTGTTTTCCTGCGCTAGTATTGCACCGGCCTGCATAGCTAGCTGGGAACCCTTGATCAGCTTGTTTAGTGCCCTGCCTGGGGGGCTATTGCTGTTTCGGTTGTATAGAGCTTTGATGGAAGATGCTTGTTGATGTAATTGGCGCTGGTTTTGTGGTGTTTTTAAGCTAGAATTGCTGGTTTGACTGCCTGCCTGGCTACCTGGGGGGG